CCCAGATACCGTGGGCCATCAAACAAAAATCCCAGCTCTAGGTATGTTTCAAGTTGTTTGTCAATGCTGTCAATACACACCCAAACATTACAAGCTATTTCTGTTGTTCGTAGTTACCCTCCAGAATTTGATGGTGTTTGCATACTTGAGTTATAGGACTTGGAGAAATCAAGCTGCAGCTGACATGGAAACTTTATTCATACCTGCTAGCATCCACAGAGCTGAAAAGTTTTATGCACATTAATAAAAAGAAAACATAATCAACTGTCTAACACACCAGTGATTTCTGAAACCTACAACTATGACTGGCAGGGAAAGATATGCACACTGGTGGCATATCTTTATAGTGGCATGAATATTATAAGGGTAACTCATAATATTCTTATCATATTTAAGTCCAGTTCCATTAGACAGATCTCATGCCTCACTCCCTTAACTGACCTAAGAATCTCTGGCTAGTCATGCCATTGATCCAAAATGAGAACTACTATAATTATTATGTTAAATAGACAAATATTGTACCTGCCTCCTCAGTCCTTACCTTTATATGGACTGTTCAATGCATACTTCCTTCATACCTTTTCAGAGAAGCTTCATTTTCCAATAGCTGGGGGTTATTACAAAGACCTATAAGTGGTCACCAACCATATAATAAGAGACTGTGCTCAGCTCTGCATGGGGTATGTTTATCATGCACTTTTTCCCCAAAGCTCAGAGACCATGTCAGAAGACCGGTAGACTTTTCTAAGAGTCAAAAGTAGTGCATGATTTGGGGTGAAATTATTCCTTACATCACATGGTCATGGCACACACGAACCTACTGCACAGGACCTGCAGGAAAGACGCCAAACACATTAATGGGATAGAGGATCATGAATACCTTTCTGGCTGAGGAGCCTTTGGCATTTGGTAGCTTCCAGGAATGGGAAATTCAGTTTTCTTTAGGGTGTAAACACTGAGAGGATTCCCATACTGCAGCAGAAGGCCTTACTATAATGTATATGCTGGTAATGCAGAGTGGATTCTATGGGGAATTACAGAGAATGCACTTGAATTTGGGTGGAGAAAGTGTCAGGAAGGATAAGGGAGGAAAACGTAGTTAATGGGGGTGGCACAGATTAAATGAACACATATGCTATGCATATAAGGTATTTCAAGTAATTTTTTTTTTTTTTGGTTTTTTCGAGACAGGGTTTCTCTGTGTAGCTTTGCACCTTTCATGGTACTCACTTTGGAGACCAGGCTGGCCTCGAACTCACAGAGATCTGCCTGCCTCTGCCTCCCAAGTCCTGGGATTAAAGGTGTGCGCCACCACCGCCAGGCAATTCTCAAGTAATTTAAGCATCCGTACTCTGCTAAATGGAGTGGAGAAAAATTGAATCAAGTATAAAAATTAAAAAAAGAAGATGAACATATGGAGGGAGGTCAGCTGACAGCGTGGACTCTTGTCTTTTCTTTGGCTTATGTTGTTCCTGAGTCTTTATTGGATGAGAATCTGAAGTCCACGAGCCTTTGCTCATAGGAGCCATTTTCCCCATTTGAACATCAGAGCCATGTAGCCACTTTGAGTTGTGAATTCTGAGAACTAGCAAGATTATCTCATTCTTTGGGGCCAACCCCAACCATACCGCTCTGATTACTGTTTAGCTGGAGGATGTCTCCTTGGTGACTTGAGACCAGGAAGCCACCATATCATGAGAACATTACAGGTGCTGACCCTTGAAAACCTGTTCAATATTAATCACCAGGTGAGAGGGCTGCTGTGTGACTCTCAGACTGACAACATCATGTCACAGTCTTGGCCTTCACTGCAATGACCAACAGGTTTGCAATTCTGTATTTTTTTACTGACCTTGTGGTCTCAGAGGTTTCATTCAAACCCCAGGATAACTCTGTGGGGAGAAGCTTGGTTTGTGGTTGCCCTGGACTGGGCTCTCGTTCTTATGTCCCTCCTGGAATAGCTTGCCTGCTGCCTAATCCTTTGGTCCATAATTTTCGTACACTCCTGCTCCCTAAAATACACGTTCTATACTTTCTATCACTCAGGACATGTGGCAGACTAAATACAGTACTCATAAAAATATCTCAGACAATATATTTTGATCTCTCTGCTCCCCAACACCTCAATATTTAAGATACAATTCTATCATTTTCTCTTTCATTTTCTACCTCCAACTCTATCCTGTCCTCCCAGTCCCACTCTCTCTCAAATTAATTTTGTTTTATAATTTTTTATGAAGAAGGGTGCATACATATATAAACAAATGAGTACACAAATTTAACCAGCTGAACCAATTGTTTCGTGTTGAGTATTGCTTTTGTGTTATAGGAAAAATCTCAGCCCTCAGATCAAACAGAAGAGACAATTCATTCTAGAACCAAATTTGAGTGACTATGGCTGGTGACCACAGATTTGGCTGATCCCAGATTCCATGTTCCAAGGTGGGGGCAGTTTCATGAAGCTTTTGTAGTAAAATATAAGAAATTTGTAAATCAAAAGATTAGTGAAAACAAAAGAGAGGAAGTCACGGGCAAGATGGGAAAACTTATCCCACAGACGCAAGATGCTATGCAATGTCATTTTTAGCTTTTAGGTTGTTGGAAGTCAGTTGTCTCATAAGTTAGTAGATTTCAAACATATTTAATTAACTAGTTATAGGAGGTTAGCTCACCTGCAGACATGTTCAGGAAATGGCTGTTCAGGGTGCTACAGTTATCCTGGAATAAGTTAATGAGTCTCTAGACCAACAACACTTCAACCTTCCATATCACAGAGGTTATATTCAGTAAGATTGCAGACATGGCTTTTTCCAGGGATTCTCATGTATGTATTTATAAACATGCATACAATTATACACATGTATGCATTTAAACACATCTATGAATTTGTACACATGTATGTATTTATACACAAGTATGCAATTATATTCACATGTATGCATTTATATACCTGTATGCATTTATACACATGCTTATACTTCTATACATGTATATTTATACACATGTATACATTTGTACACATTTATTGTGTTGTACCCATGTGTGCATTTATAGAAATTCATAATTCATACACAAGTATTCATTTATAAACATACATGCATTTATACACATGTATTCTTTTATAAGCATGTATAGACTATAGCATGCTATACATGCATGTATTTATACATATGTATGCATTTATAAACCTGCATGCATTTATACTCATGCATACATTTATATACACATATGCATTTTTATACATGAATACATTTATACACATCTATTCATTTTTACAATATATGCATTTATATACATGCATACATTTATATACATGTATTCATTTATACACATGCATGCATGTGTACACATGCATACATTTGTACACATAGATGCACTTATGCACATGTATTCATTTATATACAAGCATACATTGATACACATGTATACATTTTTAGCCA